GTCAATTTTGATTTAAATAAAAAAGATTTAAAGGAAATTATTATTCTTATAAAGAATAAAATTAATAACTTTAATAACTTAGTTCCATTAAATTAACTTATTATTAAATCAAAATTTACTTTAAAATTGAAACACGAAATGAAATTGAAGATAATTTTGTTCTTAAGGAACGTATGAGAAGAAAAATGTTCCTGTAGAAAGATTGCGGAGCAAATGAATTTCATGTCGAATTAAAATTGAAAATAAGCTTACAACTACAATTATTTTTCTTTTTACATTAAAAATATATTATTAATTACAATACCTAGATGAATCAAACGGAAGAAGTTGGCATTGTGGAAGACGTTCTCTCAAGAAGTTCCCTTACTCGCATAGAGTACATCTATATCTATAGTGGCCTAATCGTGTTGACTATCGGCATTACTCTTATCCGCTCATGGGCTTTCTTCTGGATGTGCTTGCGGGCCTCAATGTGCTTGCACGATCGTATGTTTCGCAGCATTAGTCGTGCCACTATGCGATTCTTCAATACCAACACATCGGGACGTGTACTCAATCGCTTCTCCAAGGACATGGGCGCGGTAGACGAGATGCTGCCCATCGCATTTATTGATTCTGTCCAGATCGGTATGTCGCTGGTAACCGCCATCATCGTGATCGCTATCGCAAACGTGTGGTTGCTGATACCTACGGTGATTGTCAGCATTGTCTTTTATTACCTGAGAATCTTTTATCTGGCCACTAGTTATAGCGTTAAGCGTCTCGAAAGCATCAGTAAGTATTTTCAGCTTGTCTTTCTAGAATAGAGACAGCTTCCTCGATAGAATAAAATAGATTCGATCGCAGATTGAAGTCAAATCTCTTGAACTGATGATGGATGTCAATTCTTCGGCTAAAGTGAGTGGAATTTCTAACTTTCTTTAGCCCGTTCACCGATCTTCGCTCATCTGAGCACGACTCTTCGAGGACTACCGACGATCCGTGCGTTTGGAATGGAAGCGACTCTCACGAAGGAGTTCGATAATTATCAGGATATTCATTCGTCCGCGTGGTACATCTTCATCGCATCTTCCCGCGCCTTTGCCTTCTGGGTGGACGCTTTTTGCATGCTATATATCACGCTGGTCACACTGAGCTTCCTTGTGATGGACAATGGCTTTATGTATGGCGGATACGTAGGCCTAGCAATCACGCAGAGTATCAATCTTACTGGCAGATTGCACTGGTGCATGCGCCAGAGCACTGAGTTGGAGAACCAGATGGCCTCGGTGGAGCGTATCCTTGAATACAAGTACTCGTTTATCCTTTATATATCTTCATATTGTTTGTATTAATTATATATCAATTATCTTTATCAATTATCTTACTTTATTGAAATATGAGTTATCTATTTCAATTACAATTAAGTAATTAAAATTTTTTTAAGTAAATATAAGATTTAATTATTTACTGACTTAGTGATCTACTTACATTATGAATTTCATACTCAAATATTATTCCAGTACTGACTGCATATTACAAATTCTTAAATTTTTTAATTTCGTAAATGAGATCTTAGAGCGTTAAATTTGTAAATTTTCTAATCCTTAATTTAATTTTTTTTGAATTTTTTTAACTTCGACTTTCATAACTGTTTCATTATTAATATTTTTTCGTCTAGATAAAACAAATTTGTAAGTTTTATAAAAAATTGCAGATATTTCTAAAGCAGTCTAATTTCTTTAGATTATTAAAATAACGTTTAATTTATATTTTCTGCTTCGATCTTTTCCTAGCAAAGTGGACAGCGAGCCTCCTCTCGAAAGTGTTCCCGATAAAAAGCCCAAATCCGATTGGCCACAAGAAGGTAAGATCAAGTTCAAAAACGTGTCCCTGCGCTATGCGCCTTTAGAGCCGGCAGTGCTCAAGAACCTCAACTTCGTCATCTTTCCACGGGAAAAAATCGGCATTGTCGGCAGAACCGGTGCCGGCAAGTCATCCCTGATTCAGGCGCTCTTCCGCCTGGCTGAAGTGGATGGTCTGATCGAGATTGATGAAGTCGACACAAGTCAGATAGGCCTGCACGATCTACGCTCCAAGATCAGCATTATTCCGCAGGAACCATTCTTATTCTCCGGCAGTCTGAGACGGAACCTCGATCCGTTCGATTTGTATCCAGACGAACTCTTGTGGCGAGCCCTTGAGGAGGTCGAGTTGAAGGAAATAGGCTTGGAGGCCTATATCAATGAAGGCGGCTCCAATCTTAGTGTCGGCCAACGACAATTGGTTTGCTTGGCGCGAGCCATTGTGAAGAATAATCCGATTCTTGTGCTAGATGAGGCGACCGCGAATGTGGATCCACGAACGGACGAGCTCATTCAGACGACGATTAGGAGGAAGTTCGAGAAGTGTACGGTGCTGACGATCGCTCATCGACTCAACACTGTCATGGATAGCGATCGCATTCTAGTAATGGACGCTGGTAACGCAGTGGTGAGGCAATTTTTTTTTATAATCTTACTTTTTCGTGTATTTTTAATAATAACGTAAACTATCATAAATCATTGAATCTAAGTAGATTAAATTTAAGTAGATTACAAAATTTTTCTTTTATTTATGATTATGGGAAATCAATGTAACTATGATCGTAATTTATCGATCATTTTTGTTATACACTTTTTAATTTCTTTTTCTAAATTATTATATTTTTTTTTACTTTTTAAAGGCATATAAATTCGTATGTCTATTTTATGATTTTTCTTTAATCATTTTCGAAGTGCTCTTTTTTGAAGTGAAATGTCCTACTCCAAAAGAGTTCAAATACTTTCACTATTGAAAAAGAGTAAAAAATTTGCACTCTCGAATAAGATGATAGATTTTCATTCTTTTCGAATGAGATATACTCCAAAGAAAAGGAATCTCATTCTTTTCTTGGGATGAATTTCACTTCAAGAAAAGAGTGAAAATCTGCCACTCTTATTCAATAGTATAATTTTTTAACTCTTTTTTAATAGTTTAATAGGCAATTTTAATTCTTTTAGAGTGAAATTTCACTAAAAAAATTTAGAGAATGGTGTTTTATTGAAATAAATTTGTTTGAATGCGTTATTTAATTGTTGAAGGATTGCAAATGTTTATATAATGCTTATAATTTTTTAAATGAAAGTACTGATAATTTTTTACCCATTTTTTTATTCTGCGATGTAATCCATCAGAAATTATTTTCATTATCATGTTACATAAGTGTTTATACGCTGCATATTATCAAGTAAAAGACATGTGTAGGTAGTTTTTATACGAGAATGCATCGTAAATTGCGAGCTTTCTCTTCAAAATTGGACTTTTATCATGTGCAGGAATTCGATCATCCCTACGTGCTGCTGCAGAAGGAGTCGGGCTATCTGAAGAGCATGGTGCAGGAAACCGGCACGGCGATGGCGGAGGCTCTGGCCGGCGTCGCCCGCAACTGCTATCAGAATCGCGTTTTGCTGCTCTGTTAACCTTTCGCAATTGCATGTGACAAACATCAGTGATAGGCCATTCCGTCGATTTTTTACGAGCAGTTCTTAGACAAATTCTTGAAATTTGAAAAATAAGAGGAAAAGTACAATGTAGATGAAATTCAGTCCGAGAATAGATTAATCATTTTGCTACAAGCTCTATCTAGCTGTTCCTTTTATTTTAGTAATAAACGAATTCTTTGTCACTTCAACATAAAGTATTATTGCCAATGTATTTCAATTAAGCCATGTATACATCTAGCGAATGTAAAGTTTGTGTTGTTTATTACATAGTTGTATTTATTACATAAAAGTCGCATAAATTTAATTGCTATGTGCAACGGACATAAAATCTGATCAAATGCTAGAATAAATAGAATCAAGAAAAAGAATAAATTGCTTACAAACACGAATGTGTTCGTTTTCTAGGTGTATACGCAACTTTATGCAGCAAGCAATCAGTAAAAATCGCGTAGATTGCAACCCAATTGTAATTACAGTATTATTATGTCATTTTAATATCAGCTCGAAATATTTCATCCAGAAGAATAAAATTAAAACTGTTGGGTCACCGATATATCTTATCATCAGCGAACTACCATAAATAATATAAACACTTTTAGGAAGCAATTTCTTGTATATATTGTTGTTATATTTACTTCGTCATGGTGATAAAAATGTGATGCAAGTCAAAAATTATTATACTATTAAAATTACAGTGTTTGAATTTTAAAAACATGTGATGTTTTTTAAAAAAGATACATATAATTGCATAGTCAGTATAAAAAAGATGAATTATGCATACCCATTAAGAAGCATTTTGGAACATTTCAGTAAGATTGCAACAATGTTACAACATTGTTACAATGTTGCCGAAATGTTTCTCTTGTTTACTGAGTATTCACTACTGCAATTAAAACATTGTCTCAATTAAACATTTTAAAAGGTCTATTAAAGATTACTAGTTTTGAGATATGTTATTTTTTTTAACACAATAATATATTTTCTGTTATTAAAACACAAATAAAAATTAAAATTTCGTGTAATAATCTGTGGTTATAAAATTTGATAAACATAATATATTTATAACATGAAGAGAAAAAAATAAAACATTTTAAGAACATAATACACAAATATGCCTTCTTATGCGGGAATCAATGAGCAAGTTGGGATCGTTGAGGTTGGTAATCGTCGAACGAGTTTATTAGTTTATTATCTTTTCAACGCATTGTTCTTGATACTTTCATCTTTTAATTAATTTTCTTCTATATATCGCTTGCCACGTGTATTTTTATTGTATTTTATTGTAATGTGTGCTATGGTAAACTAACGTATCGGTGCTTTGACTGTGTCTGCTATCTGCGTGAATAACTTTGTTACAATTTATACATTGTGTTCGCTGCAATTCGATGAAATTTGAAATATGTTTCTTGTGAAAGCTCTTCATAAGCTTTAGACTCGATGTTCTGCCTTTGGTTTTCATCTCTGCACCTTGCAATTTTCCTCGATGGATTACCTGACTCATTATTTTATTTTTGTTTATTTTGTTTTAATTTATTATATTTTATTTTTTATGTCGTATTAAATGTATCCTATCTTATTATAATATATCTTATTATAATATATTTGTTCGTTCATTAAACTTATTTAAATTTTGTATTTATCTTTATATAACTGTGCATTTATGATTGTAACTTATTCAATGTATATATACTTAATTTTTATTTTATTATATATTCTATTTTATTATATTTTCGACGTTGAACTAATACTGCACTCGCCTTTAGCTCTGACGTTCCTGCTTTAGGAATTGGTATATTTTTGATGCTGGATTCCAAGATACCTCAATGCGCCGCTTATCGTGCTTACCGCTTAAAATCAGTCCTGCCAGTGCTAAAAATCTATTCTATATTTCACGTGATATAAATTATAGATTTTTAGTATTGACAGTGAATATTGGAATGTAGCTTAATGAGAGTCATTAAAAAATTTAACAATTTTATTGCGAAAAATATTATTTTGGCCAGGAATCTGGAACTCCCGATTTTCCGGGACGGGTGTCAATTGTGATGTTCAAATTATTTATTTATTTGACGTTAAAATGGTTTCAAAATCATTTTTTAGTCAATTGATTCCTTTTAGTGTTATTTTATGTGATGATATATACAGATGACTTGTTGTTTTGCTAATATTATGTGCGAGCTCTATATGAATGACAATAGCATATTTATTGAAAATTTAAAATTCTTATAAGGTCTTTATTGGTTATCATAAACTTTATAAGTATGGACTAGCAATATAAGTAAGATCGCATTCGTATTTCTCTTTCTACAAGTGAAATAAATTATGCTTGACATATATACTATATACATTAAATATGCTTCATTGAAATTATATCTTCCTATATGATTTTACAAAGTTTTGCTTGTATCTTTTAATTACCTGAATTTTGCATTTTCAAAAAGAATCTTATTTTATGCTATATATAGCACAATTTATTTTGTGCTATATGTAATATAGAGTTGCTTGCACTTTTTTTGCACTCAGGATTATCATTTCCTCTCTTTTCGATCAATGACCGAATACATGTTTATCTTATTTTAAGTGCAAAATTTTTTGGAGATTTCAAACAACAGACTTTTTGTCATTTTTAATTCTGATATTAACGCACTGTACGTTAACTGACATGTGCATTTCTGGATACTTTGAGAAAAAGAAACATATATTTCTCTCTTTTTAACTTATTCCTGCAAAGAAACATTGTTTTTTTGCAGAAACTACAGGCAATTACTACCAGTCCATACTTATAAGATCCACGATTACCGTAACTAACACTGAACTTATTAAATGAATATATCAAATATGAAATCGAAGAATAATCAATTTTTCCTTAATCTTTTTCGTGAAGTCACTCGTGTCCGTGTGAAATTTTGCGCGTCACGTATGCTGCTCGTCGCCATTTAAGAAAACTTTGTTATTATGGAAATATGACGCCACATTGACGTTTATTAATAGCAGTTGAATAGATACGGTGGCACGAAATATTCACGAGAGCACGACTGGCCAGAGTTTGATGGGTCAAGATTGCAAAAAGGCCCATTTCCAATATTTAATAAAATAATCTAAAAAATAATCTAAAAAATAATAAATAAAATGCCAATTTGAGTCAACACTTGAACGTTACGTTTACGATTTAATATTCACTTTGAATAAATGGTATAAAATACACACGAATAACCAGTGTTGACTAAAATTGGCATTTTATTTATTATTTTTTTAGATTTTTCTTTAGAGCCTATTGATTATGTTGTTTTTAATAAAATAAACTTAAAAAAATTTTTTTTCAAAAGTCATGTGGTATGTATTTGTGTATTGCAAAATTAGAAATTATATAAATATGATTTTATGATCATAGATGGAAAATTTATTATATTTGAAAAACTATATTTAAATTTTATATACACAGTCAAAAAGTGAAATATTAAAATATTTTAAAAAATGTACTTTATAGGGGATGGACGATGCATTTGTGATTATAATTTAATTCTAATTAAAATTTCAAGATATATTATTAGAATCCTCTTTACAAAAAAAATGTCAAATATTGCAAAAAAGTAAAAATGAACAATGCAAGCATACGTGTGACTGAATCAGAAAGTTTTGAAAAGTAATTCAGTAATAGATTTAATTTCGATATCACTAGTGATAGTACCAATTTTATTCGAATTAGTTGCAATCGAAAGTTTGTATCGACATTAAGTAAGAAAGTTAGATTTTTTATTGCGGTTTAAATTTCTGAACAATTTTAATAAAAAATTTGTTGTCACAAAAATTATTATTATTTAGAATTCCGGATAAAACTATTAGTGCTGCAAACTTAGTAGGGGCATGATAGTCACGTGGTCTATTTTCGTTCCTATTGTATGTTTCATTTTATGTTCTTATGTAATGCTACGCTTGATAGGTTTAAAATTAGCTAAATATATATAGATTACGATTAAGCGACTTAAACGCGCACTTAACGCTTTTAAACATTAAATTGTATATATAATATCTGCACAATACTATGTGCATGTTGTATGCAATATTTGGTGTGAATTAGTTGATGCTGTTAATAAACAAACGTAATAAATAAGATAAATTTGTAATTTATCAGAAAATTATATCACTACTGCTTATTATTATTTTCCCAGTAAACAAGCCGTTATTTATCGATATTTTAATATCGAAATGACGATAAATAATTTTAGTTTATTTTTGTTGAATTGTGTACGACAGTATTAATAGAAGATACATAAATAAGATTAGAATTATTATAATCAAGTGACACGAGCTTGGCTAAGAGAAAAAAAACATTTAGGGTGCCAGGGCTTCTTAAATATTATTACAAAAATGTAAATAATAATAAAAAAATTACACATACAGGGAAGGACTCCATTTGTTTATAAATGGATCTAGAGCACCATTTGCTTACATCTCGCATTTGCCTACAGATTGCTTACATGTATTACCGCCTACAACTTGATTGATTACATGTACTTTTGTGCATAAATAAAATTTTTCAGAAACATTTTTCACATTTACCTACAGCTTGATTGCCTACATATTCTCTGCTTTAAAAATACAAATTCTTTGTTTTAAATAAATTTTCTGCTTTAAAAATAAATTATTTTACATAATTTAAGTGTAATTTTATATTTATGCGCAAAAACGCTTATAGGCAATTGATATGCAGGCAATAATAAACACATGTAGGCAATCGATCTGATAAGTTAATGAGATGTAGGTAAACGGTGCTGTAGGCAATCAATTGTAAGTAAAAGAAGCTTTCTTCTTCCTTCTCCTATGCAACGAAATCCAGATTGCGCCGTGCGTTGATAGACATACAAATTATTATTTGATTATAATAATAATTATAGTCTTTTTCAAATTTTATACATCTATATTTTTATTATCTTTTGATTTTAATTAAATAAAAAATTTATTAATCATTTTTTTGTTATTTTTTGTTATTTTTTGTTATTTTTATTTTATTATATATTTTTTTTATCAAAGTAACAAAAAGAAGAGCATATAATCACAGCACAAGTTGTTTTTTGTGATATTATATGTAATTAAGTTTATGAATGATTTAGACGTTTCGGTCACAATC